AAATATTCTGTGGATGATTTGGTTAGATTTGAAATGATACATCAGGTCAAGAACTTTTTGGTACTTCATCATAATCCGTGCTTTTCAAAACAATATAAGTTATCCATCTTTCTTCAGGTCTCTGTTGATCTGAGTTACCTTCAGGAAATTTTGAACTGAAACATTTATTTAATCTAAGAATCTTGGAATGCCTACCCGCACTCACCTGGTAGAAAGATGGCAACTGAGAAATAAACTTTTTGACAATATAGATTCTCTCTCTTTCTCCCCACCCCTAAATATCTTAAGCATTTTAAGTTTGCTGGTATTCACTTTCAATCTTTTCATTGCTCAGTCCTTCAGTTAAATACTCATTTTCCAAATAATCTGATCAATATTATTCTTTACTAGATTTGTTTCTTAGCTTTTACCAAGCATCACAACTCTGTCCTCTTGGCAATTCGGATCACACTGTAGTTTCTGTTTATATTTCTTTGTAGTTGTCTATTAGACAGGAACCTCTTATTCACAAGACTTTTTTCTGTTACCAGCTTACTGATTGGGATTCATTCTGTGATTATCTTCAAGATGCCCTTTAGATTGATATTTTTAACCTTCCTACTGAGAATTGTGCCACAGAAGTTTCTTCTTGGATTAAAATTGGCATCGATGATTTTCTACCTTCTCGGAATTACCAAGTGCAATCACAATCTTCTCCTTGGCTCATACCAGCCTGTTCAGCTGCTATAACTCACAGGAATCACTTTTTCTGGCTGTACCAACATAATAGTTCCAAACACAAGATACCTCTTTGTGTCATCTCATAATAATTGTAAATGTATCCTCAAAGAGGGTAAATCTTTGTTTGCTGATAGAATGAGTCACCGTATAGCCTCTAACAAGTTTGGTTCTCGTGATTACTGGCAGCTCTGTAATAGTGTGTTAAATAAAAGTAAGTTTCTTATCCATTTTCTCTTCACTCGATTTGAGGTGTTAACATTTTCTGCTATTAAAGCAGAATGTTTTTCTCATAAATTCTCTTCAAATTCTACTCTTGATTCATTTGGATTATCTTTACCTGAATTTCCACTTAGAACAGAGTCCCTATTGAGTGATATGCACATAACTGTTGTAACCTAGGAAAGGTTACAGAATAGAATAATCAAACAAAGGTTTGTAATGAATGATAATATTTAGGACACAAACAACACACATAAGATTTGCCAGTGGCATGTAGAAGAAATAGTCAACTGCTAGAAGTGAGTCAAGGGAATTCCACAATGAATCTTCAACTGCAAACCAACACAGAGTATTTACTACTGTATTTATATGTATGAGGACATATCCATTATCATCCGTATGTATGCTACAACAATAACTCTGACTATGATTTCTGCTCTTCTCTCTAAGCTAGATCCCAACAAAGCTTGTGGACATGATGGTATCTCTGCAATCGTCCTTGGGAAATCTGCTCCAGAACTGGCTCCTGCTCTCTCTAAACTTTACAATAACTACCTTCCTGCTTGTTAGAAATTCTCTTCTGTAGTTCCAGTCTTCAAGAACTTCGCAAACTGTCTGATCATTCTATCAACCTATTAGCTTTCTACCTCTTTTTGACAAAGTACTAGAGACTCTAATCAACTTTGAATTGCTTAAGCATCTCACCTCACAAGCTTTTGTTTCAGATAAGCAATATGGCTTTCACTTTCTTAGGTTAACTGCTGATGTATTAACAATTATTGTTGAAGAGTCTATTAAGCTAAGAATGATGAGGCTCTGGCTGTTGTTTTGGATATCTCAAAAGCATTTGACAGGGTTTGGCATATTGGACTTCTTCATAAATTGAAAGGTTATGGTATTTCTGGACAAATTTTTTAACTGATTTAGTCTTTCTTATCAAATCACAAAATGAAAGCTATCTTGACTGGGCACTCTTTTTGTATTAATGCAGGTATCCACAGGGCTCTATCCTATATGTTGTTCCTAATTTTCATCAGCAAATTTCCTGATATCATCAGTTCTCAACTCAAAATCTATACTGATGACATAACTATTTACTCCTATATTAATAGGAAATTGGATCAGTTCAATAAGGTCAAATTAGCAGCTGATCTCAAAAATGATCTACAATCTGTTATTAACTGGGACAAGAAATGGCTTGTTAATTTTAATGCATCCAAAACAAAACTGCTCTCTTTTAATCATCTGAGAAAACCCTTTTTGCCTTCTATCAGCATGGATGAGATTCATTCTGTGATTTTCTTTGAGATGCCCCTTCGATTGATAAAAAAGCTAACCTCCAGGAGAATAACTTATTGTGCCTTATCAGGCTGTTTTCCACTGACATGAAGTGAAAATATTATATTGAATCAATTGCTCGGTCTGCTGCAAAGAAAATAGGTTCACTGCTGTGCTAGACAAATTTTTTGCGCCAGAATCTATCTCACATATTTATAAGTCTACCATTCATCCATGCTTTAAATATTGTGGCCACATCTGGTCAGGTGCTCCTGCTATATATTTAGAGATTCTTGATAAAATCCAAGGAAGAATCTGCAATGTTGGTCCTGACATCTCAGTTTCAGTCACTTTCCCAGTGAAGCATAAATTTAAGCATAATACTAGATTGGCAGTAAGGTCTCATAATTTTACAGATGAATTGACTAGATGTGACCATAAATTCTATGCAAACAGTTTCTTATCTCACACCTTTTGCTTGTGAAACTTTCTTGCTTCCAAGTCAACTTTGATCTTCAAAAATTTAAGTACAATATCAATCATTATCTTTTGTCTCCTTAATTCCTGTACTGTTATTGTTCACTCTCTCTCTCTCTCTCTCTCTCTAACAGTGTTTTTTTTTTTTTTTTTTCTTCTCATATTCTCTTACACTCAGTAACCCCTTGCATCTTGGTGGCTTTATTACCTTGCTTGGGTTGAAATGATTAAAAAAGAAATCATTTGATTGACTGTATGAAATCTTGTGAGAAGAATACAAATAATCAGAATAGAGATGTGAAGTCTGTTCTGTCTTCATCATCAGGGAACCTAGATTATACTTAGAGTATTTCATTGTTGCTTATCATTGTAGCATCTGGCTTTCCTCAGACAGACAAATTTTGGCTATTGTGCTATCAAATATTTCTGTATGTATAAAAACATAAAAATGTAACAAATCTATTAATACCAGTAGAATTAAATTTAAAGTTTTTGAACATGATTTCTCATTTTCTGTTTTCGTCAAATCTTTCTATTGGTAAGTCAGTCACCTATGGTTGAGTTAGTAGCATATAAAATCTAAAAAATTAACCTGTATCACAAAATTATAACACTGACAGAAACCCAGCAGCAGATAACAAAAATATAACAGCCAAGGATATAATAATTGGGCATATTTTGATCTACAACATGGTTCAGACTTTACAAATGCAGTGTGTTGACTTGTACAGAATTTAGCAGAAAGAAATCAGGTATCTTTCAACCCTAATTTTAAATACCTAAAATGTCTAAACAAAAAAGACAATTTCAAATAGAATTTCATATATAAAAGGTTTAAAATGCCAGTAATATGTTAGATGTCATTTCATATTGTGACCATTTAAGTGATTTCTCTATTTACTTTGCTGAAATATAATTCTTGACATTTTTTTTCTTAACCACTAGCCAGTCTACTGAAACATAGCAATTTAAAATACATAAAATCTACTTGCTTGAGTGTCAAAGTTAGCAGGTTCAGTAAAAAAGAATCAGAAAAGATCTTTTAATATGTAAGGACTACAAAATCTCTGTGAATTTAAATTTCTCCATTTAAATATCTATATTGATAGCATTTTTTTATAGTTTTTGTGAAAAATATGAGTTGTGCAAATTAAATAGAAAAAAAAAGAATACTGGAAATATTCAGTAAAATTTCTCTGTTTTGGAGATACATTATTCTATTATTATCACCACATATCTATGCTGCTTTATATTTATACATTTTGTATTTAGATGAGTTTCTGAAAATGCAGTCTTGATTTAACAAGTTTTGAGTGTCTTAAGAATCCCAGTTTGGAAGTCACTGATTTAAATATTCCAGTAATCCTTTATTTTGACTGTTTCAGAAATCAGTCTTTGCCTTCTTATTACCTTCACAACAAATTATTATTCTTTTAATAGAGAAATATTTTACTATCATGTAATTATTTCCAGTGATGAATGCATTATACATATTTGTTAATAAAAGGAAAACAAATTTATGTTTTCAAACTATTTTATGTCTATATACGTATATAGGATATGCAGGTAGTGTAATGGTTATTAATGTGGAAATTAGACTAGGTAAGCCAAGTTCAGATTTTGTCTATGTCAGTTGCATACATTGATGTTCTTGGGAAAGGCCTGAATCTATCTCTTCCCCACAGTTATGGATTAAATAGCAGAGTAGTGAGCTCTATAGTTTTTGATATCAACCCATCTAGAAGAAAGACAACTCTGAATTCAAAACCATGGAAAAAACAAGAAGAAACAACTTCATTATCTTTCCCAAGAAAGCAATTATGAGAATAAAGAAAAGAGATGTTTGGAAAGCCATGATCACCTATATCCTGAATGAACATGTATTTTAAAAATAGTGCTAATTTTCTTACATCACAAAAGTAAATAATTCAATAGAATGTAATTTTTGGGTAATTATTAGATGAACATGAAATATTGATATCATGCACATTGAAGTTTTTCATTCATAGTAAAACCAAAAAATGTATAGACTTGATTTTTAATACTTCATATTTTTGTAAGAATTTTACAATTCATTTTCAGGTAAGTGTAATTTAAACAGGAATTCATTTTGCAAAGGAAAATAAGCATTGCTTTTTATTTGTACTAATATAATTTTTTACAATATTGAAAAATGTGGATAAACCTTGAACCATTGGAATTTAAGGCTATTTGAAGAATTTTATGAGATATTAAACACCTACTCAACTTTTTTACACAATGATGCAAAACTTAGAAACTGAATGTTTACTTTTTCTTTTTTTTAGCTCTGAAAGGTAGCAGTTGGGGAAAACCTGCTCCACAATCAGCACCAAGTGAAGAAACAGTTATTTCAGAAGGTAAATCATTTTATTTATTGTATTTTTTAATTTCATTTTTTCAAATTAATTTTAATATATTCTAGAGTGATTTGCATGCCACTTACTTGTGAGTCATCCCCACACACATAGTTAATTTTTTTAAAATTTCATATAACCCCTGAACCTCAGCCACTTTTATTCCAACAAAAATATTTTAGTTCTGACACTCATTTAAAAATGCAAAACTTGTTTGGTACAAATTGTAAAACTTTTTTCAAATTATAATCTATTCACTTTATAAAAAAATAATTCAAATCATAACTGTTTTGTATATATAACTCTAGTTATATATACTAGAGGACAAGTGGTTTGAATGTTTGCATTCTGTCCATAAGTCCTGAGTTCAAATCTTACCATCATCAATTTGGCAGGGAGGTAACTTCTCACTCTTATTGGCCTGAGGTGATCCCAGTTTGCAGCACTACAAAGTGCATGAAAACTGTTGTAGCATACCTACAAACGATAATGGGTATGTCCCCATTCACATAAATACAGTAGTAAATACTGTATGGTGGTCTGCAGTTAGAGATTCATTGTGGAATTCACTTGACTTCCAGCTGTTGACTACTTCTATGTGCCGCTGACGAATCTTATATGTGTTGTTCTTTTCCTAAATATTATGGTTCATTACCAACCTTTGTTTGATTGTTCTATTCAGTAACCTTCCTTAGGTTACAATAAAAACTATACGATGGCTTCATTCAAGCCTTGTGAGTAAAATTGGGAACTGTTTGGAAGCCATTGATGGTTGTGCTAGCACAATGTCACAAACCATAGGGACCAAGGGTATACCATCTTTGTTCAAACAGTTGATCATGCTGTATCATAGGCTTACTCTAAGAATCTGTTACTAAGGTTTGCTCAGCATAGTTGCAGTATAAATCATAATTGGGATCTGTGGCTCTTGAACAAATACAAATGTGTCTGAGCAAGCATCAACAACAGGGATTAATACTCATCACACACAATGAATATGGACTCTCTAGGAGAGACATATTTAAATTAGACTATGACTATAATAAATTAAAATAATTTTTTATCATGTAATATGCTGTCTACCTTCATTATTTTAAAAATAATTTCAAAGATATGGCTGAGAAAAGAACATTTGGCGGTGGCTCTTTTAAGAAATAATCTATTGAAGAAAAGAAAGTCCTTTCAGCTGTTGTATAGAAATGTAAAACTGAATATGAACAGGAATCAGAATGATTAAAAGGTAAAACACATTGAGATGCTAAATTTAAAAAAAAAAAGAAAAAAATGTTCCTGACACTTTAAAACAAAGATATTTTGTCAAAATATATCACTCATTTTATTCCAATTTGAGTATAGCAAAAAACAATGATGGATTATTTATTTCCACTATGAAAATGACTAAATGTTCAAAGTTTGAAGAAGAAGAATTAGATAGTTCTGATAAAAAAATTTAAAGATTTTGTGCTGCTGGTTTTGGTCATAAATTCAAGCCACAAATAACATTTTTTGAATGGTTTGTTGATGTACACGCATCTGTGGATACAAGATTACTCAAGAGGACATTTCCTTTTTCATGCTTGATTATCTGAAGAGTAGTCGAAGTAAAACGCAAGAAAAACTTTGATTTTCTAAATTGGGGATGAAAAGATGGCAAAAAGCATGACTAAGATTTCAGAATAAACACTTCCTAATCTCAAAAGATCAATGTTGAAGATTATTTGATAAATATATAGAATGTACAACAATATTTTATTAAAAATTTGGGCATTGATCCCTCTATTATAGACAGGGATTGAATGCCTCTGCATCAGAATGAAAGCAGTGGACTAGCCACATTGACATTTAAGAAACATTTGTGAAAGAAAACACATTTGTCATGAAAATGAACCCTATCCAAACACTATCAAAAAAAGTCATCAGAACTTAGATTCCACCCAAAGACAACAAACAGCGTTGAAGATTCAGAACGTTTTGATGGGAAAGAAATGGAGGGAAATGTTGGCCAAAGTGATTTGATTTTGATCTTTCCAAAGAAATTCCTGTTAAGATTTTACAAAAATTCAAGCCAGCAGATTTTCTCTTTAATCTTTCATTTTTTTTTTACAGTGTAATTATTATAAAGATAGTTTTTCTCATTTTTTGTCATTGCCATCATTCCATTTGCAGAACGAAAAAAAAAAAAAAAAATGCAGTCAGACTTGTTCAGTCTGCTTTCCTGACATTAAAAGTGACCTAATTCTTTTAGGTTGATACCAATGTTGTTATTATAATATAAAAATAATCTTCATACTGTAACGAGTCGAAGTTGTTGGCCAACAAACTTAAATTAAGAATCAGAAAACATTTAAATTTATTTATTTAAACCTATTTTAGAAAATAGAGATCAATAGTTTGATATTCAATCATAGTTTTAAGTCTATCTAATATTGCTCAATTATATATAGCAGTAACTTTTTTTTTATTTGTTTAAACACTTAATATATTTTCTTTGGAAAAATTTTGAATGTCAAGGAAATAATTTGCCTTGGTTATTGTTCATACCACATTTTATAAGTGTACAAATCTATTGTTACATATTTATATATTTTCCAGGAAATGTGCTTGGAATTGTGATCAGTCTTGCAGCTGCAGTTATGATTATTATGGCTCTCATTATGCTTTATTATAGACGCTGGTATGTATTTTCATTTTATTTTTTATTTTAGAAATGACGAATTGGCAATATACTTTAATTTGTTTGAAGTACTGTTTTCATCTTGATCATTATACAATTACCCAATGTAAATATATATTATGAAATGGACAAAGTTCAACAATTATTTTTAAGACATTTTTATGTTTATACATTCTTTTTATAGACAAATATTTAAGTAAATGCTGTTTTTATAATAAACAGTATTAAACAACATTTACTGGCCTGAATGTCCAAGAAATTTTCATAGAAAATATTCGTTCTCCGACAGGATTCAAACCTGTATCCTATACGGAACCGTCATTTAGCCTGACATGCTCTTAACCAATTAAATCACAGAGATTAGCAAGGTTGAATTTACTGTTGCAGAACAAATATTTTCTATGAAAATTTCTCGGACATTCAGGCCGGTAAATGTTGTTTAATACTGTTTATTATAAACATAGCATTTACTTAAATATGTGTACCTATAAAAAGAATGTATAAACATAAAAATGTCTTTAAAATATATAAAAACCCAATCAATATATATGAATGTTCCTTTCTTATGTAATAAATAATTTATTTTTTTAAAATATATATATATATATAAAAATATAAAATAATTGTCAATGTGTGTAGATGATTTTATGAAAAGTTTTATCACTTAAATGAAGATATGACATTTCCTCCTTTATGCTTAAAAAGGACAGTAAGCTTTTTACCTTGTTAGGATGAGTCAAAGATCATAAGTAGACCAAATTTTATTGACAGGCATGATAGGCATCGTCCATTATTCATCCACCCTACATTCTGCAACAAATCTCTTCATTTTTTAACTTTAGATTTGATCGGAAATAACATATTAACCTGTTTTCTGCTGTTCATATGTCAGTATATGGGAACACTATGAACAATAGAAATGTCTGTTAATGTGAAGAAAACATTTGGTGCTTTTGAAGCTCTAAAAGGGTGAATTTGTTTTCAGAGAGGACTTAAGAAATGCACAGGTGACATTCCTGTGTGCTGACATACCTACTATACTCCTGTGAGACTGCAAGCATTTAAACACTCTGAAGAAATTCTACCAATGCTGTTTAATGATTGTTGGTATCCATTGGTTAACCTACATGGTTTTTTTGAAAAAAAGTCGATGCAGGCAGCATCATCACCACAAGCTTCATTGGTCAAGCCATGTCAGTTGGCCTGACAACAATAGAATACCCAAACAAATACTTTATGGCATTTAACCTCAGCATTTAAACAAGGAAGCACTTCAAGGATTGTTTAAAAGTGTCTCTTGCAGTCTACCATAGAGAAGATACTGTTGTGGAAGCCACTGTTTATGATCAAAACAAGTGGAGGTGTACAATTCATAAAAGGACTAAGATTTTCCATGAACATACAGTGAATTAGGCAAATGTCAAGCGTGCCACTAGGAAAAGGGAAGTCTTTAATTCAGCAATTTACATTTGATGAATTGAGTAGAGTATGCCTCTTCAATGCAAGCCTCATTAGCCATACGAAGAGCCATATTGGTAGACCTTTCACAAATTACACTCAGTACTATTCTGGAAATAACTTAATATGCAGAGTGTATTAGAAAACCCTGCAGAAACTACTTCTGTCTCTCCCATCACATGAAAACCCACAATCAAGCTGAACAGATGTTACAAAATAGGCCAGGCCTTGTACAAAACAACTTAGTTTGTCACATATGTAATAAGCATTGCAAGTCACTTGATGACTATATCAAGAGTACACGCCTATATGTATGTATGTACGTGTATATGTTATTGTGTATGTGTGTATATGCATGTGTTTTTGAACATAGAAATATAGGTCCTTGCTAGATTAGATAATCGTTATATTTAGTTTTTATATGTTTATATTTGATTTGTAACCTGTAGTCGATATTAATTTTGTCAAATTTTCTTAATTACACAGCGGCCCTTTTTATAAATGCCCTTCAGTTTTAGTTTTCCCCGCCTCATCTCTCTCCCCCACCTCTTTTTCTTTTCTTTTCCTCTCCCTCCCTCTTCTGATCTTTAAGATTAGATCGTCTATTGTGTATGTCACCACAAAATGTATCCTTTCCGGTTACATCTTTAATGTATTAGACATCCAACAACATTCATATTTCTCTCACTTAAACCGTCTTTGACTCCCCTCTCTAAAACTTCTCTCTGTTAAATTTTAATCCCCCACCTTCTCTCGTCTGTTACCCCTCTCTATAGCTCTAACATTCGTCCCACACTCTCATACTTACACTCTCTCTAAATTTTAAATTTTATTTCCGGAGTTGTTTTTTCTGTTTTCTTTTTGAATTTGTAGATCTGATGAATTGGATCGTATTTACGATTCCAATGGAATAAATTATGACCTTGGAATATTAGTTTTTAAGCCTTTTTATTATATCCTTATTCTGTCCTGGACATTGGATTCTATCCTCTTGGAATTTTTTTTTTTTTATACAAAATATACATGTATGTGTATATATTTATATATTTTGCATATTTATGTGTATATTTACCACTAATATTATCTATCTATCTATCTATATATATATATATCTCCATTGAAAAATAAGCATGTTGTCATTTCCATAACCACATATAAACATTTTAGTTTTAAGTAGGAACAGAGTAGATAGTAGTTGTTTTAATTGTTTGAAGATGTTATTCCATTTTTATAGTGTTGCTATAAACATATAAAAGAGATATTTTTAAATAAAAGAATATTGACATTAATATCAAAAAGTTGTTTTCAATTTCACAAATCTTAACACTGAAATGAACCTTAACAAATAACACAATTTCCACATGTTCTATGTAAACGTTGCAAATATGCTGCTCTAGCTGAAAAACTGAAAACATACTTTAGTTATTTATTTTCAGAAACATTTTTTTTTCAGATCACAAGCTCATGAAAGTTATGGCTCTTCAGAAGAACTGTTTGCTTTTTTAAATATAAAGAGTAACTTAGTGTTCAGTTCAGTACTTTCAGAATTATACTGTCTACTAGTATTAAAACATCTTAGTTATGAATTGATTACCTACTTGAAAGAATTTCTCACTTTCAGTTTTATTTGAGATCCATTATTCTTTTGTCATCAAGTGTGTCAAAGTTTTCAATATTTAAAATGAATTTCTAACTTTTTCAAAATGAATTGTTAACCAATTTAGATTCCATTTTTTTTTTTTTTTTTTATTGAAACAATTCTTGCTTTTGATAGCCATTTTCATTATTATTTTTCTTAAGATCATCCCATTGTTTTATAATATTGTTACTAAGTATTGTGCAAACAAAATAATGATAGTATCCAAAAGATATCTAAAACCATTATATATAGCAGAATTCTTGATCATTATCAAAGATCACTACACATTCTGTTTTGGTTTTAATTTAAAATAAGCAAGATATGAAGAAACAATGGTCTATCCAGCTGTCATCATCTCTTCTCATTGTATTCATGTAGAGACACAACCTTTCCAAGTTTATTAATTTTGTGAATACTTATTAATTACTCAGAAAAATTCAAACTCTATTAAAAATAAACTCTTCTCATTGAGAAATTTACTCTCTAAGTTTTCTAAATGTGTTCTTTGACAGAAAAAAATTATCATAAAATGATGAAAAACTATCATGTCTGTTTTTAAATGAATGTATTCTAAAATGTTTTAAAATGCTTTTTTTTATCTTTAAGGTTAAAGAAGAAATATGTTGCCAAAGAACCAGCCGTTTTGTTTCAAAATACTTCTTATGCTCAAATCCATAATGCTGCTGCTACTGCTGCTGATGGAAGTACAAGCAGCACTTTAGCTGCTAATAATAGTTACTGGAATACAAATAAGGTGAATATGCTGTATGAAAAAGTAAACAAACAAGTAAACCATGGAGTGAATGATATAGACACACATTTTGTTTCAAACTGCAATAATTTGGACAAGTCATGTGATGCTGAAGAAGGAGCTGCAGCTTTGGAGAAATTTGATAAAGTCAATCTCAAAGCAGCCACAATGAAGGTGAAAGTTATGAACACAGAATTACATGCAAAGATGCCACAAGAAGATGTTACAAAGGAAAATCCAAACTTGAACACAATGTGTGAACCAAAGTTGGCAATTGAGAATACTTATGAAGACACACTTTATGCTAAGAAATAACTGTTTATCTCTGGCATCATTTTGCTCATATACATCAAAGAAGTTTTTTTTTTATCCAATCTTGTGTTTTTTGTTTGGGTTTTTTTTTTTTTTGCTCCAGTTCATTAATAAAAGCCAAGAAACAGTGGTATACCTAAGAATTAAAAATAGATATTCTTTTTCAACATGTTATCTTTCTCATAATAAATTAATTTTATGATTAAATTTATGATGCTTATATTATTTGTTATATTGCATTTAATTTTGTAATGCAGATATAGCACATATATTGGATAGGAAAAATGCATTTACATATTTTTAAAAAGTATACATTTTTCTAACTACATTAAATGATTTCCAATGAGATAGTTACTGTTTTCAAACTCTAAAAAGAGAAGTTCCACAATTACTAATGAGAACAAAAATTCTCCCACTATATCTTCATTATTTAAGCTTAAGTTTAAATGATTTGCACAGGAAATTGACAACAAAGATTGCTGATGTTAAATAAGATCTTTAAAGTGCAGAGCATTATGTACTGCCTTGCTAGTTTACTCAAAGAAATGTGTTTTTATGTTCTATATTAGACATATTTGAAAGGCTGATGTTTTCTTTTTTATAAATATTATTTCCTGAACTACATTTAAACTCAAAATTAAATTACACGTCCTTTTTCTTTTAAGTTCGGTTATACAAAATGCAACAAAACAATTATCTATTTTATTTACAATGGTTTCCTTTTTGTGTGTATCCACGATTCTTGACATTACAATCTAACTATGCCACTGCTGAAAAAAATACTTTTTCTTGTTTCTGCAGAGAAATTTCTTCAAATCTAATGCCATGAAGATTTTAGTAAGAATTTGGAAATAATTAGGTGTTTCTGTTGTTATTTCCATCTTTCTGATTGTCATGACTAGAGGTTTGTTGATAGAACAAGATACTTAGCCAACTGATCTTCCTAGATTTATGTTTACATGATTGTTTTCTAGTAACTACATTGTGTAACATTTATATCATAGTGATTTCAATTTCACATACATTTCATCCATTTTTGTATATTTTTAATTTGTTTTTGTTTCTCTTTTTCTTTTTTTTCTTCTCATATAAGAATATATTCTTTGCTTGAAATTGTTTAAAAAAATTCTTGATTCTAATTTCTCATCCAGCATTCTCTTATGGTTGCATTTTTTCATTTTGCAGATTTTTTAAAAATAAACAGCAATATTGGAGTTAATTTTCTCATAGTTATTTACTTAGTGTTCTCATTAGTCTATATTTGTATAAACCGTTTTACATCTGATTTTAGCTTCTATCTTAACATCTTTTAAGTTACTTCTAATTTTATGCTCATCAATATTTTACATGAATTTTTCATTGCAATGGGACCAAAATTCCAAACATTATTCCATATCTTTAACTCCTTCAGGGGTTCTTTATAAACCAACAATTGCATCACTTTAACACTTAAACTTCAAAGAGAAGTGTATCAAATAATTCCATGTCACATTCTTTAATGCTTCTTTCTTTATTAATGATGAAATTTTAGAAGCATGTTTCCCATTACCTGATAAATACCTCCTGGCTTTTTCTAAACAGTTTTTAAATTCTATTTGCATTTGTCTTTTTGTTTTTTTCTGTTGCTGTGGCAACCAGAGAATTTTTTTCAAAACTGACTTGATTACTTGTTATTGCCAAAGTTTTTTTTTTATTCCAAACTCAGTGATATTCCACCTGCAACTTTTAATAATTTATTGATATTACTACTTTTGTTTTCTTATGAATTATTTTTTTATTTGCTAACTTTAATTAAAGTCACCTCAATATTTGCTTGTAACAATAAAGTTTCCACAAAAGTTTGTATCTCTACAGAGATTCAATATAAAACAAATTTTGATTTTATATTTGTTGAATAATTTATAAAATTATCTGCATAGCCTTTCTGTAAAAATACCAATTTTCATTTTGTTTAAATGTAAATTGTCAATAAGCCTTCAGAATAATCCATTGTTTACTACCCCAGTGTCTTAAGCTGACCATCTTATCCTCCTGATAATCATGATCATTGGCTACTTTATAAATTGTTAGAATGCCAGTCTAGTGAAATTTCTCAATCCAGATTCAGTGTTTCTTTGGCTTTATTATAAAATCATGTATTTTACTGCCATTTTCATTTTCCATTGCAATATTGAAAAAAATTTGTGCTATCAAATTGTTAAATTTGATTTACTCAGTTGTGCAAAATTATGTCGAAATGTGATTGCAATTTTCTTCTGTTTTGTAAAACAGCAATTAAATATAGTTCTTATAAAAACAAATGAACTTTTGTGATGAAGGTAATAAAGATACTATTTTTATATTGCTATGTAATTTTATTTTTAATTCTCCAATTATTTGAAGTAGAATATTTTTTACAAGAATTCTTTATAGACATGGGTTATATTTAGTTGGCCTTGTGTGATATGCTTGTCCTACAAAAATAAGTAATTATCTAGTGTTAACATTGTGTCTTAAAATCCCAAATATTGATTTACTTTTCCAAATAGTTTATCAGTTAAACCGCAAACAAAAATGAAAGCCTTGCTCATCCTTTTGGTATGTTTCCAACAAAAATGTATTGTGATCATTTTTTATAGTTAATATTTTTTTTCTAATTAAACATTTTGTGTCTGCATGAAACCAAATCTCTCAACAAGTTTCTGCCTTTAGAACATTAAAAGCATTTTATGAAGCAGGTGCTGAAAAGTACTCAACCTGACAAAGAAGGGATTAAAAAAACTTTTGTTTCATTCATTTGGTTAAATTTAGGTAAATGTGTTGAATTGAAAAACTTTTCAGCAATCCATATAATCACTGAGCAAAAAGGAATAAGTATGTGTTTTGTATGCCCTTGTTGTTTACTTTGAAACTTACAGAATGCTACTATTACCTCCAAATTCCAGTTACTGTAAAAATTTTAAATTGTATCATTTTTAATGACTTTTAGTTTTTAAGCTAGAACAACTTTTTCATCTTTATTCGCTGAAATCCATTTACACTTCCCCTTATCTCATTTTCTGACATAGCAATAATTTTCATTCTTCTCAGAATAATTTTATTTTTAAACAGCATAAAATAAAACTTAGAGCAATTAGACAATTTTCTTTACCATTTTCCTTTCAATTTCCATGCTATTGTAACTTAACTCTAAAAACTATTTTAATCAAATGCTTTCAACTATCACATTTAAAATACTTAGGAACTTCAAAAATATTGTTCAAAGGATTAAAATTAATTTATTTTAAGGCTAAAATTTATTTAATTTTATATCAATCAAATTCTTTTTAATTAAAAGCAAAAAGTTCATTTATTCTAAAATTTAATTTAGTTTCCATTGTCTGAAACTATAAAAAGGATCATTGACTTGTTTTGGCAAAATATTTATGGTGTAAGATCTTTTTGATAAAGTATTTTATTGTATTTACCCACTATCACTGCATTAGAGAAATTCCTTCTGAAAGCATGTCACATTCAACATTGATTCTGCAATACACTAACTTCCAGAAAACTACCAACAGTAATAAATATATAGTGAAATAGAGTAAAAAAGGAATTACCTGAAAATGCCTTTTATTTGATCATACACTTTGTAACCAATTTCTCAACTGACAACTTCTAATAATAATGCCATTGATTTTTTTCAGTATGCAGCTATTACATTTGCAAATCATAAAATAAGATTTCAATCTCACTAAAATACATGTTGTGTAATAAACCTAAGAATTATAAATTTATAATTAAATTTCCTAGTAAATATTTTTTATTTATATATATTTTTTAATTTTAAAAGTTTTTAAACTATTCCTGTTATTTTTTTCTCTCAAATGTTATGGAAAACTATTTTTGTTAAAATTTTTGTTATTTTCATGCCACAGAGAAAAAGAACAACAAATGTTGAGGTGACTTCATTGAATGCAAAAGGTCAGTCTTGAATCTTACTTTAAATATTGAAGATGCTTCATAAATTACTTCCATTTTCTACCAATCAACAAAAAGAAAAAATCAATTCAAACTACAAAATTGTTTTAACTCTTGTCTGGATTATTGTTAAAACTTAGTCATGAGAATGTTTATATCTTGTTTTTAAATTATTTTTTTTTTATTTCTTTTATTTGTTACTGCTATTCCAGATTTATGTGCAAAGTAAATCAACTGTAGGATAAATCTTGTTTGTAAATGTTCTTGGTGTTTGGAAATCATTTGAAAGGTCCAAAGTAGAAAATATTCCAATAATACTCATAAAAGATAAAATACCCACAAACAATTCCCACCAAATCCATTGCTAGTTTTATTCTGCCCAATCTGAATTTGCCATTTTGTGACTCATACTATCAATGAAATTATTGTTCTGTTTTTTACTTTCCTCTAATGTGTCAATGTTCTCTTAGTTTTTCTGATTCCTGATTGTATAAATCAGAGGCATCTGTTTCAACATTTACAGATCATAGAAATGTAATCATTTTGTACAGTTTTAAATGATACTAGATGAAATAAAAATGATTCTGTTATTGAAATGGTTTTTGTTTTCTATATTATAATGAATACAAAACATATGCACTTGTGATTGCTTTATGACTCTACCACTTTGTCCCCAGCCCCTCAACCTCCGGCATCTTCCTCTTTGGTTTGAGGTGTCCACTCAGTCCGAACCGAACTTAGGAGTAACTGGCCATATGCTCCCTGAATACCTGCAGATTATTTCAACTGGTCAAGTCCTGATTGCTGCCCACGCTGTGTTATTTTTTAGATCCAGTAAACAGGGTGTTGTCCATACGTTCATGGTCTACTGGGGATGTGAACACGGCTGTGAGAGTTAGTGCTAGGAAGTTTTAGAATGTGGCAAAATAAAACAAGAAATAATATCTGCAGAAGCCAGACAACAATGGAGGAAATATTGACTTCTTTTATATAAGAAGATAACATCAGAACAGAGGTTACAGGGAGAATAAAAACATTTAAAATAAATGAGAAAAGAAAAAGACAAAATGCATCCAGCGAATTCCCGACAGAGAGAGTGTTTGTGTGTGATAAACGCGTATTGAACCGCCTGGGGTAGGTTTATGAATAATAGTCCAGTCTCATACAGACTTCTCAGAACAGGGGTTAGTCTTCTCTCTCTCCTCAAATTCTCCCGCAAATCTCTTGACTCACTGCAACGATAGTCTCGTGACTCTCTCGACTAACAGTCTCTTTCCCCAACTCTGCTTTATTAGCAAAATCTCGAGTTAATATAGAAAAAGGATCAGCTGATCACAATTGACCCTCATCGGTAAACACGCATCTTAACCCAAATTGTACTTTGATATATAAACACTGTTTCCATTTCCAGTCAATAAAAGTTATATTTGCGTGTGTGCGTTCATGTGGTTGTGTATACCTCTCTCTGTTACATTCCTTCCTTACCCATCTGTCATTTACTAGTAAATGACACGAGTTTTCATGTCACCAAAAATGCAAGAAAACTCAGTCCAACATGCTTCTGACTGGGGTCTAATTATACGTCTCTTCCAGCATGCAAGAGTAGAGTCCTCAGTTCTTCTTAGGGCTCATTATGCCCATTTACATTTTCATTGTCCTTACGATACTTATGTAAAAGTTCATGGGTTTGGCAATCTCATGTAATAGAACCGTTTCACCTAGTTCATTGGTTCTCAATATCCGTTAGGGGTTCTGATGCACCCTGGTCGGACCCACCTTGGTAAAGTGTACTAACCGGAATCCCCTCCTCACTCCTGAATTCCCCTGCCAGTTTATTCTGCCTGGTCGACGATACCGTACGTCTCTTCATCCACCGCCAAACTAGCAAGGCCACGACTATTATTAGTATAATTCCCACAACGGTCGGCCAGGTTATTATATCAACCAAGTTCCCTCTCCATCCCGAATTTGGTATACCCAACTTATCTAACTGTGACTTCAATCGTCCAAGATCAATCTTATCGATTGGTTTTAACAACGCTGGCATCTTTTCTAGGGACATCTTAGGAATCTCTCTTATAATGGGCTCCCACAATTCCGTCCATCCACTGGCATTCGTTCCTACTAGCTCTAATAAAGCCACATTCTCTTCAAATGTCTCTTCCGCCCGGTAGTAGGGGGGTACGGAGATAGATGGACCATGAGCTCCACAGCCGAAGGGTAGATCTACAAAAAACAAGTGGGGAGTAACCCTTATTGTAGTAGTGGGCTCCCCCGCACACAACTTGGATAATTCAATCTCTTCTTGTGTGGCCACCGCCCAAATTCCGTCGCAGACACCGATGGCTTTAGGCAACATTACCCTGGCTAATACCTCTACCTGACATTGATCCCTAATTCCCTTCTTATTTTTCTGAAATAATTCTAGTACGCACAGATCGTGGCTACCTGTCACATAAATTGGACTCACAGACCCACAGGTACCTAAGGCGTCATTCTTGCATTTTTCTGCTTCTCCCTGTGTCAATAGCATAAACTTCGTTCTGGCCAGATTTAGGGCGACAAATTCCGTCTCTACTTTGTACCTTGCCACTGCTCTTATCCGGCTCTAACTTTGGATAGGGAAGGGGGAGATTCATCACCTGGTAAATTTCAAAGGTGCTATCTCTGTCCAGTAATGGCACCGGCGCGAGCACTAGCAATTTATCATCTTCCAGCAAGGTAGCACATCCCAAGGCACTAACTTCCATAACTGCTGAGTGGGGTCTACCGGTAATCAAAGGTGATGGGGTAGCTTGGCTTGTATCTCCAGCAGTGCCTCCCTTAATCGTTCCGGAGTTATTATACTCGGCGACAGGTGTCCCAGCGACAACATGTCTAATTGTGCCCTCACATGCTCCAACACCGGTAAAGAATGACTTGTTTGACGTACCTTGCTCATTATAGCTAACAACTGAAAATACCTTTGCAAAAACCCTTCTAATTGCTGTAATTCGGTTGTTATAGACGTGGTTACATTTATTACTTCTTTTCTAAAAACCCGTAGATGAGAAATCAACCAGTTGATACTCCCTCTATTCTTAGCCAATTCCAGCCTAGTAACATTGAGTATAGATACGCTCTCTTTAACCGACTGAGCCATAACTTGTTCCCTCTGCTCTACCACTTTTAATTTCCTCTTAATTACCCTCACTTCGTATTCGGAGACTGCCAAACAACACGCTCAATGCCTTTCCCGTTATAGGTAGTACTGCCGTCCTTTGCCTGGTCCGTAACCACTTTATTCCCTTCATATAGTAACTCATATCCTTCCATTGTCTCAAGTATTAGGGATTTCTGAGCTATAATATACGGTGGTATTCCGGAGTCTGTAAATAGTCTCCGGCGACTTGTGTCCTGGCTGTATCTAGTTTGTCCACTTCAGTCTTCAACTGACCCAGTAACTTCTCATATGGCTGCAGGTCTATCACCAAAGTTATCAACCACTTTGATCTAGTTATAATCACTTCGCTAGTCTTCTTAAATGCACTATTCTCACTGTGTTCCCAGGTATAAACTACCAGAACTAGCATCATCAGTAACCGCGAGCCTCCTCTCGTCCATGTCTGCAAGGATATGGAGAGAATAATTCTTCTTACTCTATCATTCTGTTTTGGTTTCGAATGGGTGGTTATATCTTAGAGTAACATATGAAGCACTGACCTGCACCACTACCAGTGCCGTGCATGCATGGGGGCCCTTCCACGCAACCCACAACACCGAGTATAATTGCCCGGTCAGTTCCAGACCGTTACTCATTCGGCACAACCATTGTACTGATTCCACTTACTCTTTGGGCTCGGGCTGCACCGCCCCACCCCCTTAATCGCAACTTCAATGGTAATTCCTCATTAACACCAGGCGCTTCTTCAGCCCGCAATTTACTCTGCAATTGTGCTAACGGAATTTCATCCTCAGTTCTTCTTCCCTAAGGTTAGGGTCAATTACTGCCTCCTCAGAAGGTCCCGCTGGGGTCCACTTTATCTCCCTCAGCCTTCGAAGGGTAGTTGGGCTAATTTCAATCTCTTCACTCCCTTCGCTTTCACTTCCCGTCTTCAACTCTTCGGGTTCTACTAACGTAGTTCTCCTCAGCCTTTTCTGTTTAGTTCTTGTTTCGGCTCCTTCCAATTCCCCTATTTCCACTAGTTTTATATCATTCGCATGCACCCTCTTTACCTTCCCGGTCAATTGGTCCCATATCACAAAGGAAACCGGACCCGTCTGCTCTACTATTCTATAATATGGGCTCCATCTCTGGTCCAATTTACTTTCTCTCTAGTGTATTTTATAATACACTGGGTCCCCGATCTGGAAGGAAACTTTGGATCTGCTCTTGTTTATTCTATCGTTTCGTCTCTTCTGGGCTCTTCGAATCCTTCTCCTCACCTGCGTAAACATTTTGTGCTATTGTTCTAGAACCATACGGTAATGATCCTCTCCTAAATACTTCCTCCTAGGTCGCAATAGATTGTTTATAGGCAAGACTACATTCCTGCCGTATACCAAGTAGTAAGGGGAAAGTTTTGTTGTCTCGTTTATGGAGAACCTCAGGGCCGCTAACGCTTTGGTTACGAATAAATCCCAATTCTCTCTATTATCCTCGGCTAGTTTAGCTAACACATCAGCGAGGGTCTTATGAAATCTCTCCACCTTCGCATTACTTTGGGGATGATATGGAGAGGTGGTTACGTGCTGTATGTTCAATTCCCTCAACGTCTCCCTCATAATCTGATTTACATTCTCCTATCCATTATCGGAAACCAACTGTTCGGGGGCCCCATATCTGGGGAATATTTCGTTCAGTATTATATCTGACAACGTTTGCGCTTTTTTATCCGGTATGGCAAATGCCTCAGGCCAATTCGTTAGCCAGTCCACAAAACTCACTATGTAAAGATTACCTCTAGGAGTTTCTCCATAGGGCCCGGAAATGTCCATGCTTACTTTCTGAAATGGGTAATTCGGGACACCCGTTTCTAATACGGGGGCCTTCCTACTCCTTCGACTCTGTACTTGGCATGTTACACATTTTTCTACATGGTTCACAACATCCTTAAACAACTTAAGCCAATAATAATTCCTCATTATTAATCCGTATGTCTTATCAATTCCCATGTGTCCCAACTTCCTATGACACTGGTCTAGAACTTCGGCTCTCAACTTCCCAGGTATCACCATATTTAAACTTACTTCCTCATCTCTTCCTGAAAGGTAACACAACACTCCATCATGCACCATATATTTGGAGGCACGCCCTGCCTCTACCTTGGATCTGATAGCTGCTATCTCTCTATCCTCTTGGTTTTGCCTAATAATGTCTCTCCAGTGGGGGTCGGAAATAATCTCCGTCTCACTCGTTTCCTGATCCTCCCAACCAAGTCCTTCCCTCGGTGCCTGTGAATTGATCACATTTAATTATCATCCACACCCGGCTCCAACCTGATTCCGTCTCTAGTTGCTTCGGAATCCTCGATAACAGGTCAGCACAGGTATTATCCTTCCCTACCAAGTATTATGTCTTGCAGTTATATCCACTTAGTTTCAACGCCCATTGCTGTATCTTCTTATTCGTCCACTCCGCCTCTAATAAATATTTGAGGGGTTTGTGGTCTGTTTTAATGGTAAACACTGCCCCACTGAAATAATAGTCCAACTTTTGCACAGCATACAGGATAGCGAACGCCTCTTTCTGTATTACTGTACATCTTTGCTGAGTATCGGAGAGTCGATGAGACAAAAAATAAATCAGCACTTCCTCAGGCCATCCTTGTCGGGACATGGTTGTGTAAGAACCGCCTCGATGCACTTATCACTAGCGTCTGTCTACAGCACCATCGGCTTACTCAGGGGTATAGCTGTCAGCTGGTCCTTCAGAGCTTTGAACGCACGCTGACAATCCTCGGTCCACTTAAACCTAGCATGCTTCTTAGGTTAGAGGGCCTGCCAGCCGACTGAAGGCTGGTATGAACCTCCGGTAATATCCGATGGCTCCAATAAATCCCCTAATCTCTCTTACGGTCTTCGGTGCGGGGATGGCTCTTATAACCTCTACTTTGTCTAGATCCGTCTTTATCCATTCTTTATTTATGATAAACCCTAAGTATTTCGTTTCTTCTTTCATAAATTGGCACTTTGATAATTTTAACTTTAGTCCATCTTCTTTTAACCTATCGAACACCTTCTGCAGATGTTCGAAATGTTCCTCTGGTGACCTTGAAAATACCATGATGTCATCTAGATATGCCATGGCAAAGGCCTCCGTGCCATTCAGTACGATGGACATCAACTGACTAAATACACCCGGGGCGTTTGCTAACCCAAACGACATAACTCTAAAATTGAAGAGACCCATGTGACAGGAAAAAGGGGTCTTTTCCCGATCCTTTCTGCTAAGGGCCACTTGCCCGACCTCAAATCTAAGGTGGAAAAACATTTAGACTTTCCTAAAAGGGATAGAATATCATCAATCAAGGGAAGGGATACTGCCAGCAGTTTCGTAATGGCATTTAATTGATGAAAATCCACGCAAAACCTATGCCCTCCATCTTTCTTTTCCACAATGACTATGGGAAAATTCCAGGGAGATTTGGATCTTTCGATTATCCCTGATTTCATCATTTCATTCACTGCGTTCTCTACTAATTTTCTTTTACGGATTGGGGTTCTATACGGCTTGAACTTAATAGGTGGGTGTTTACCCGTGTCTGTCTCCGTTTGTCCCAGTTCCTTGTCAGTAATGGCTATTACCTCCCGATTACTGTTCAGCAACCCACTCAATTTCCTCCTATGATGTTCAGGGGCGTTTATATCCTCCTCCCTTATTTCCTTGCTACCTACCTTATTCCCAGGCCCATTCTCATTCCATACTCTCACCTGCTCGACTTCTCTCACTGGGCACGCCTGTGGCAGCTCCTCTCCCTGCTTAATTTTAATAGTTTTATTGGCAGCATTAGTTAACAGCAAAGGAACAGTCCTCGACCCCTTTTACTAAGGAATCACATACGGTTATCTCCTTTTCACTATCATCGTACCTATCAGTAGGGACCACTTGGTACAGGTAACTGCTCAGCACTCCTTCTGTTACAATCTTGCCCTTCCCCGACACAGTAGTTCTAGGGGGAAGCGTCTGGGCCACCACTGGCAACTGTTCATAATTATCCTCTCCCAACGGTATCCTTACTCCGTCCAATGTTAGGGTGACGGGGTCAAAACTGATCCGTGCCTTATTCTGCCTAAGCCAGTCGCACACCCCCCACCCCAGAATTAGCTTACCAAACAAGTCTGGTGCCACATAAACCTTAAGCTTACCTCTGATTCTTGCCAACTGGAAAGGTAGCCACGTCATACCCTCTATCCTCATCCTACTACTATCAGCTTGACTTATTAGTAGATCGACAGGACTAAGCTTCGTCTTCAGTCCCAATTGTCTAAAAACCTTGGAGCTAATAGTGACACTGAAGCTCCCATATCGACAAGGGCCCTCACCTTCTTGTCTCCAAGCAACACATTACAGGTGAAGTCTGGTCCTTCCTTCAGCACACAGTACACCTGTGCCTTTCTCCTTCCCGCATGTTCTCTCCCTTTCTTCCGTTTACTCGACAACCGAGACATGGGGGCCGGCAACAGGAGTTCGCCTTTCTCTAGGGTCTCCAATTTCTGTCTAGAGGCCCTCTTGGGTGAGATAAAGCCCTGATGACTTTCCTTTCCCGGACTAGTAACCTGTTTCTCCCCTTTATTCGAGTTGGGGTTGTTTTGTTTTGCGTGGCCTAACTTTCTCCTGCGAGGACAGGTTCGTTTTAGGTGACCCGATCCTCCACATTGCCAACACTTTCGCTCCTTACAACTGGCCGAAAGGTGCCCGACCACACCACATTTCCAGCATCTCAGAGGTCTTACTTGCACTGCCTCTTACTTTTTCACGGGGGACCCATTGGCGTTTCTCGGATCCTTTTCCTTCTCGGGGGGGATGCACCAGCGTATTAACTCGCTTTATCCCCAGTTTACGGTCCCCCTTCGCCGTACACCATCGAGCCTTGTGCCCGAACTCGCCACAAGTTGTACAGTTCGGCCCCCGAGATCTTGGATCGCCTCCATAATTTGTCTCTTCTACCTCTTCTTTCGGATCCCAAATCTGGATCCGCTCCCGATACTTCTTTTTTATTATTACCTTGGCTCCCCGGTGGTTCCTTCCTACACTTCCTCTTATCCTATCCCAGAGTCGCTCGCTGGTCTGAGGCGCTTCTATGGCTGCGGCCAGGATGACTGGTCCTCCCTTCAGAACATCGGCCCTCAGGTCCCTGTCGCTCAGCGCGTCTACATATACATCGGCCAACAAGTCCTGAATAGGGCCACTGTCCCGAGTCACCAATTCCGGAAAAGCTAATGCTGCTAGCCCCGGGACTCTTTCTCCCAATTCTTCATTTGTCTCTCCTTCCTGTTGCTGCAGCCGGAATAATTTCATGACTGCCTCAATGGCCGTACACTCACTTGCGTATTGCCGCATCAGAGCGGATTTAAGCTCTGTCTATATCGAGGCTGGGTTTTCTTTGTGCCATGCCCCTATAAACTTAGACACCTGCCCCGCTGCGGCGTCGTAAGCCAAGAGCACCATTTCCTGGTCTGATAAGCCATAAGTCACCTTCTTCTTTTGGATGGAGAGAATCCATTCGTGCAGGTCCGCAGGGTTTCCTTTATAATTGGGTAGCTTCATACTACCTATCAGCCTTCTGAACCCTATCGTTATTTCGGGGACTCCCACGTCCCCAAGGTCAGTTATGGCGTCTGATCCTGCTACGCTCATCCTAGCGTCTTATCAACGACAGAACAAAGCAAAATACTTCACACGGTGGTGTCGCTTCAACTGCGTACAAGGTCGACAAAAATCAACAATATTACTGGCAGATCTAAGTGCAATGTGTGAGTAGAGGAAACCCAAAAGTGACTTACCTGAGGTCCGCTGCTCCGCGTTTTGTTTCCTTTTTATTTTATTTTATTTTTATTTTTTTGACAAATATCGTTTTCTGGTTTTAGTCGGTCCTGACTAAATGCAACAACCAAGTCTATTTTGTTGGTGTTTCCTTCTTTTCTCTTTTTTTTTTTTCACTGAGTTTAACTTAAGGCTTCCTTTTCTTTAAAGCTGTTCCTGGCCTTATTGTCCGTGGTAACTCAAGGTCAATCCTGGTCATGGCACCAAATCTACCACTTCGTCCCCATCCACTTAACCTCTGGCGTCTTCCTTTTTGGGTTGAGGTGTCCACTCGGTCCGAACCGAACTTAGTGGGTAACTGGCAATACACTCACTGAGTACCTGCAGATTATTTCGACTGGTCAACTGGTCAAGTCCTGCTCGCTGCCCACGCTGTGTTATTTATTAAATCCAGTAAGCGGGGCGTTGTCCATACGTTCACGGTCGACTGGGGATGTGAACACGGCTGTGAGAGTTGGCGCTAGGAAGTTTTAGAATGTGGCACAATAAAACAAGAAATAATATCTGCAGAAGCCAGACAACAATGGGGGAAATATTGACGTCTTTTATATAAGAAGATAACATCAGAACAGAGGTTACAGGGAGAATAAAAACATTTAAAATAAATGAGAAAAGAAAAAGACAAAATGCATCCAGCGAATTCCCAACAGAGAGAGTGTTTGTGTGTGATAAACGCGTATTGAATCGCCTGGGGTAGGTTTATGACTAATAGTCCAGTCTCATACAGACTTCTCAGAACAGGGGTTAGTCTTCTCTCTCTCCTCCAAAATTCTCCCGAAAATCTCTCGACTCATTGCGACGATAGTCTTGTGACTCTCTCGACTACAGTCTCTTTCCCCAACTCCGCTTTATTAGCAAAATTTCGAGTTAATATAGAAAAAGGATCAGCTGATCACAATTAGCTGCGTGCCGGGCCGAAGGCCACCACGAGTGCCAAAAACTATCCCTTGACATGTAAACCGATTCTCCAATTATTTACCTTATCTCAATCACGAGTTCTTCTCGCTTCACCAAAATTATACTTTGGGATATCTAAACATTGATTCAACCTTTTAATCAAAACAAATAATGTTAAACAAAACCAAGTATCTCGCCCATCCCCATTGTTTACTAGTGACCCAGGTTTAAAACATCGCTTCCTGCCCTGAGATCGTGTTTCTCATCGGTAAACACACATCTTAACCCAAATTGTACTTTGATATATAAACACCGTTTCCATTTCCAGTCAATAAAAGTTATATTTGCGTGTGTGCGTTCTTATGTGTGTGTGTGTGTGTGTGTGTATATCTCTCTCTGTTACATAACAATGATTTCTTTTTAATTTTTAATGAGAATTCATAAAAGTATTATCAAAGAAAATATTCTTAAATCCACTGTACAGCTTAGAAAGGAATTAACTGAATACTAGGCTTTCCTACCGCCCGGTCCACACTCCTCCCCCATCTCTTGGACATGAGTAGAGTCTTACACCTTGTTTCTTGTTTAGGAAGGGGTTCCCGGTACTCATTCTCTCTCTCTCTCTCTGGTCTCTGTATTAGTGCAGCTCTGTTTCTCCTGTGATGTGTGCACTCTGTGGCATCACCTCTTCATTCTGAGGATACACGGTTGACAGTTCTCTGGTTGCTGTTTCCGACTGGTAGTTAGGAGCCCTAACTCTTGCGTAGCGTCTTGAGCGGCCGCTCTGATATAATACCGGGGTGTTTGTAGTGCCATGTCGCGCATGGAAAGGTGTCCCTGCAGTCACCTCCGGTGGGCAACCCTGAGGCCACATTATGATGCAGGTTGTACCAACTCCTCTCTGCCCACGTCACGGTCGATAACTGTCTGCTTCTTTTACTTCGGGCCTTCTCATCTTCCAACCAAAATTCCACATGACTTACAAAGACTGAAAAAGTAATCCTAAACCAGCCCCTCCAAAATCACCTAAACCCCTCAACATTTCGTTCTCCAACATCCGTGCCATTAGAACAAACTTCAGCGGTATGGAATCTTTCCTCACTGCAAACTGCCCGGATATACTGGCTCTCTGTGAGACCAACCTTGTCTCGTCTATCCCCTCCTCTGATCTCTCGATCCCCTGCTACCTTCCTCTCCTCAGGAAAGACTCTCTAACCCACATGCACGGCCTTGGTGTCTACGTCAAGGACCATCTCCCTCTGGCTAGTCGTACATGTGTCTCCGACTATCTCTTCTCAATGCGGTAAGCTATCTCTTCTTCCTTTACCGCTCTCCATCCTCTCAAGACTGTGGGATACTCGATAGCATTTCTGACAGCATAGACAAGGCTCTCTCCCTCCACCCGTTTGCTCACATATTTGTGTTTGGCGACTTTAACGCCCATCATACCATGTGGCTTAAGAATGCTACCACTGACCACGCAGGCATTCAAACGCTCAATTTTTCAGTCTCACACACAGATAGTTAACTTCCCCACTCGTTTTGCTTTCAACCGGGAAGGTAAAGCCTCTCTTCTCGATCTGTGTTTTACCTCCATCCCCGAGTCCTGTCCTACTGGTAGTATGCGGTAGTATCTGTTAACATCTCCTTCAACTCCCACCCCCTGCAAAGAACCTCCTACCACTAGAACTTCGTTCTACTATCAACGAGCTGACTGGGACGCGTTCCGTGATTTCCTCCGTGATGTCCCCTGGGATGGTGTCTTTACGCTCCCCGTCCAAAAATGTGCTTCTGAGGTCTCATCCTGGGTTAAAGCTGGAATCGACGCTTTCATCCCCTCAAGGAAATATAGGGTCAAGTCGCGCTCCTCCCCCTGGTTCTCCGCTGCTTGCTCAGCCGCCATCGCTTATAGGAACCACTTCTTTCCGTAGCGACATGTCTGACTTCAATAGACGTCTCTTTGCCTCCGCCCGTAACGAGTGTAAGCGTGTCCTCAACGATGCTAAGTGTCACTATTTGCTGCTCGGATGAAGGAGCGTATTGCATCTCGCAAATTTGGCTCCAAAGATTATTGGCGTCTCTGCAAGAGTGTATTGAACAATTGCAAACCCTCTATACCTCCTTTCTTCAACCAGCCCGAAGTCCTGACCTCCTCTGCCGACAAAGCTGAATGCTTTGCTCGGAAATTTTCATTCAACTCAACGCTCGACTCTTCCGGTGTACCCATACCCGACTTCCCTCTTAGAACTGAGGCCCTATTGAGTGGGTTACACATAACCCCGTCTTTTGTATTGGGCATTATCTCCAATTTAGACCCCAACAAGGCTAGTGGTGGAGATGAGATACCAGCCATTGTCTTGAAGAAATGCGCGCCCTTTCTAAACTATACAACTACTGCCTCAAGGAATCTTGTTTTCCTGACTGCTGGAAGTCCTCTTCGATTGTTCTTGTCTTCAAGAACTCTGGCGACCCCTCTGACCCTTCTAACTACCGTCCTATCAGTCTCCTACCCCTCTTCGGCAAAGTCTTCGAAGCCCTAATCAATACCGAAGTGGTTAACCACCTCACATCCCATGATCTGCTCTTAGACAAGCAATATGGCTTCCGCTTTGCCCGATTCACAGCTGATGTGCTTACGGCCATCACTGAAACTGTCTACCAAGCTTTTCAAAATAACGGGGAAGCTCGTGCCGTGGCCCTAGACATCTCCAAAGCGTTTGATAGGGTTTGGCATGCCGGCCTTCTTCGCAGGCTTCAGGGTTATGACATTACGGGTCGATTGTTTGACCTAATACAATCATTCCTGTCAAACCGTGAATTGAAGGTCGTTCTCAACGGATTCTCTTCCAGTTCCTATCCCACGAACGCAGGTGTTCGTCAAGGCTCCATCCTAGGCCCCACTCTATTCTTTACCTACATAAATGACCTTCCTGACGCCATAAATTCCCAAGTTGGCATCTACGCGGATGACACCACAATTTATTCCTGCCTCATAAACAAATCTAGTGTCACTGACAAAACTAACCTGGCCGTGCGTCTCGAAAAGGGCCTCCAATCAGTTGTGAACTGGGGCAGGAATTGGCTGGTCAACTTTAATGCTTCAAAAACAAAATTGCTCTCTATTAATCACCACATAGATCCTTTCCTGCCCTCCATTAGAATGTCTGATGCTCAACTTCTCGAGAGCACCTGCGGCTTCTCGGTCTCACGTTG